AACTTCGGATGGCGCATATTCCCAAAATTAATGCGCAGTTTATTCTTCGGTGTATTAGCTTCATGCTCGCCGTATTTTCCCCTGAGATAGATCTGGTGGTAAATACTTCAGATTCTTCCTCATTACATTATACGGAGCAGACTGGTTTAGAAGCGTCTCAAGAACCGCCGCACTGCTTTTTCCTATGCAGACTAGTCGTCGAAGCTTGCTGAGCTTGACTTACGTGGTCCTCATTTCGGTTTTCTTCCACCAGGCGATCGCGGCGTATGAGCAATTCCTTCTCATGGCGATCAGCTTGGTTGGAAGACTTATTTCACAATATTTGGCAGGTAAAAGGATAGTCTCTTTTAAATTCCACCTATGCCACTTACCTGCTCCTGGCCGCTGTATTTGATTATTTCAGCCGGTAGAGCATCCACTCTTCCGAATTTACAGTTTTTAGTCGATCTTTCATGACTACATCAATTCTACTATCTTAAAATTGTATTGGGTGTACCTCGTACTCTTTAATATTTCCACTACCTCAACTTTTTAACACATTTTGAGTGCACCCTGAACGTCAGCCACCAAGTCGCGTTTTTATTAGCTCAGCTGTTCACCCCAGACCGACGTAGAACCTTCAGACAATCGTCTAACTTTTTGAAAGCATGCGTGCGTTTTCGCTATCAATTATCTTGTTTAGATCTTTACCCTTACGCTCTCCTACGCATGTTGTTCTGAAAAATATGTCTCGTTTTGTAGTGGCCTCTGAATTTATTTCTCTNGCGTATGAGCAATTCCTTCTCATGGCGATCAGCTTGGTTGGAAGACTTATTTCACAATATTTGGCAGGTAAAAGGATAGTCTCTTTTAAATTCCACCTATGCCACTTACCTGCTCCTGGCCGCTGTATTTGATTATTTCAGCCGGTAGAGCATCCACTCTTCCGAATTTACAGTTTTTAGTCGATCTTTCATGACTACATCAATTCTACTATCTTAAAATTGTATTGGGTGTACCTCGTACTCTTTAATATTTCCACTACCTCAACTTTTTAACACATTTTGAGTACACCCTGGACGTCAGCCCCCAAGTCGCGTTTTTATTAGCTCAGCTGTTCACCCCAGACCGATGTAGAACCTTTAGACAATCGTCTAACTTTTTGAAAGCATATTCGTGCGTTTTCGCTATCAATTATCTTGTTTAGATCTTTACCCTTACGCTCTCCTACGCATGTTGTTCTGAAAAATATGTCTCGTTTTGTAGTGGCCTCTGAATTTATTTCTCTCTTTTTTCTCGCCGTATCCTTAAATCCTGCGCTGTAGTAGCGTGGTTAGAGGAACGCGTTACTACTCGGAAGAAACCGTGCTCTATCCATGGCTCGATCCCTGGGATTCGAACAGCATGCAAAAGAGTTATTTCTAATCGCGGTCGCTCCTGGCTGGAAAAGGCAAGCCCCAGAATGTATTTTTGCTATGATTCGGATTGTGATAAGTCAATCAACCGACAAAACGAACGATAAATCCGAAACCGGAATTGGGCTTCTTTACGCGACGTCTTTAGCAAACGTCACAAGGTCCATAATAGTTTTACCAGACAGGGGCATTTTCCCCATTAACCGTCCGTATATTCCTGATACATGGCGCGGTGACTTGGAAAAATTGAATATCTCATTCCATGTTGACTTTCCTTCTCATTATATGTTTTTTTACGCTGCGGACGCCAACCCTAACCGAACAACCAGTTCCTGGATTGACTTTTATTGAAGACGATACGTTTATGTACATATGTAGCCTGCGCTTGCCCGAAGATGAACGCCATCTTGCAGCCGAATCATTTCGTCAGAGTTGCTCAACTGAAGCTCTGTCGTGACTCAAGGCTTCACATGGGTGCGTTACTGCATTTCAAACAAGGGCTGTTCACGTTTCCCATGGTGCACAAATTACCTTTAATTGGGAAACCTTAGTGGCATTCCCAGAAGCTGTATTTTGCTACCCCTTATTCCCTTCCAGTAAGTACAGATAGACACTAAATTGCAACATACGTTTTGCCTATTTTTCTTTTAACGATAAGCCCAAGCTACTTCCAACTGTCACTTTGTTATACTGAAATTTAATGAATAAAGTTTGAAATCCGGACCTACATGGGTTTTGCTAGTTAATGCACTAACTTTCTTAGGAAATTAATAAACATTTAATAAACAAAAGAAAAATAGTCAAAACTTGTTAATATATCGCGTCCCTATTTGTTTTCCCGCCACTTTATGTACAACTTTATGTTTGGTTTTAAGTCGATTTGTTTCGGTAGTTTCAGGTACGATATCCCACAATTCCTTTTTCTTTTGACCAACACTTTTGTCTCTCTTTTATTTTGACAGCAAAGACTGAATACACATCTAAAAGCAACTAGCCAACTGAATACACATCTAAAAGCATACATACCTACTTATGCACATAATAAGGCCGGTACTATCCGAGTATTTGGATATGCGAATATTCGTGTATACGGATAAAATCCGGTTAATATTCATTTTATTTTGTTATCTGTATATCCGGTTGATATCCGCTATAATTTGTTATCCGAATATCGCGTTAAAATCCGTTAAATTTTGTTATCCGGTTATCCGGTTAATATCTAGATATTCGGATTTCTTAGTCAGGTATTCAAATAACCGGATTATTCGGATATTCAAAAAATCCGGAAGAACTTCCAGCCCTAGTAAATAATTTGCTTTTAAATTTTAGCTAAAGCGTTCAACTGCTCGGCCACGCTTCATCGCCTTTTTACCACAAGCGAAGCTTAATTTAATCGCTTGCATTTGCAGAATACTCAAACAAAGCAAACGGTGCAATAATCAGTGTCAGCAGTGTATCACAAACAGCGAGTGCACTCTCTGCCACGTGTCTTTTTCACGAGCAAGAGCTGTTGTTCAAACTGCATACTCGTAGCAACTAACATCACTCATACGACAAAGGTGCCCTGTATTTTAATATGAACATACATATGTATGTAATAATGTATGAAGTACTCAAAGTGTTGCAGTATACTGTTTTCTAATGAGAAATTTCCAGCTGACGTATGTTCAATGTTAGTCTCAGGTTCTTCTTCATCAATGCAGCTTCTGCTACATGAATTTGGCTGTGTTACATGTACTTAAGGGCACTGGTTAGGCACATTCTCATATATTCTACTCAGGTATAAGTTTAGCCTGCTGCAATACCCAGTTGCAGTCTGACCTTCTGCGTCCAGGTTAGGAGAGGGTTAGGTTCCGTGCACTGAAGAAGCGAGAAAGCTCGGCGAGACAACGGTTTACTTGTTTACTTTCGAGCACAAGTCATCAATGCCATTCCCAGACGCCATTATCGAACAGTCGTCAGCGTAAGAGACAATGGATCGTTGGGGTAACTTTGAAATATAGTAATTAAACAGTACCACCCTGTGGTACCCCCTGTTTAATTATTCTCGGTTTGCTAGTTTTGTCTCTAAATATTACTGACGAATGTCGTTTAAGTCGCTGAGGGAGAGAGGAATCCATGTCTCTCCATCCTCTTCCAGGCCGGTGAAAGGACTGCGGAAGTACCCTTTCTTGCTTCTCGTTTGCTGGTTAATTGCAATCTCCTGGTACTACGGTGTTCTATTATTCTCTTTTTTTATTAACCGGTTTCGATTTATTCGAAAAACGGCATTGTTGAAAAACCCGGTTTGCAATTTTTATATTAAGAAAAAATCTTTGTATGAGACCTTTTACTGAAATTGAGCGTTGCTACGCAGTAGTCCGTATGGTTGGGCCATCTTTGGTTATTAAGAATCGCAGTATGACCACCTCTTTGTACTTTCTGACTTTTTAGTTCCCGCAGTCTTTAGGCAGCATTTTCGGCGCATTGCTTGCTTATTAAATTTATTGGTAATCTTTGTAGCTTCGCAGTATGAGAACGACCGTATTTTTTCTGGTAACCAAACGACTACGCTATAGAGAATTATAGGTCTGGCTACCATAGTTAATCTCCTGTACCAGACTCGAGGTCAAACAAGATTTTTGACCAATAGCTATAGCTATAGGCTGCCTAGCGCTTTTTGGCTATTGTAGCCTTCCGCGCTCTTTCCTTGACGTTTTTCATCCAGTTCAGCTTTGTATCGCTTATACAAAACCACCTTGCAGATTCGCTTAAATTAGGCGTTGTGTTTGCTAACTTCCTCGTAAAAAGTACCAGGTCTGTTTTAGTTGGGCTGACTCCTAATCCTTTCTCTTTGGCCCAATTCATGACCTCTGCTAGATTTACCTGCATTATGTCCCACAGAGGTTGTGGTAATGGATACTCTCGGACCAGTGATCGAACCCAGGTCCTATGAAGTCATGGTACGCACCTGCGACCAATCAGCCACAGCTTCTTGCATCAAGTTAAAATCAAGCGGTTCCTCTCATTTTGCTCTCTCCCGTCTCAGCTATCGAACAGCACGCACAATTGCTGTGTAGGGTGTGCGTACGCAAACAGGCGCAAGTACCCATGTAAATATGCGTTCGCATACATTCACCCAACGGATTACAACAAGTCACCTTGTTCGTTAGTTTAAACCCCACACACAACAAATACAAAAAACATAACAAACATACACACACACACGCATACCTACATACATACAAATGTGTATGCGCAACCATGTGATTTTCCTAATTTACATTTTAAACACTTACAAGTGGCTACTATCCGACGCGAAGTGACGCGGCGCTACAACCGCCACCACCACCACCACTATCATTACATATCATACCACAGCCACTGCCGCGCTGACTTTCTTTCTTCGACTTGTGCCACTAATTAGGTCCCACTCAAGCGCCCTACCGGCTAAACACGCGCGCTTGCTCGCTACCCGAGTCAACTCACTCAATGTGGATATTGAGTTTGAGTCGGTTTATGGCTTGCTTGCTTGGCTAGTTGGTTGAGTGGGCACTGAGCGGCAGTGGCGGCGGCAGCGGCGGTGGAACCTGCCCCTTCATGATTAGTATTCGTTACGGACGCGCCACGAGTTAACACCTCGACGTAACAACTCGGATAACTGCCGAAGCAAAGTGAAAACGAGTGAACGAGAAAATATAAGCGAAAAACGAGCGCGTAACCGACGGCGCGCAAAAAGGCAGTTATTTGATTTTTTCATTGTTGCTGCTAAAGTGCGAAATGCGCGCAGGAACCGGAAGTTGCGGTAGGCTATAGCGATTTCGAAAATATTCTTTTTTGGTGGCGAATTTGTGCAGGATATTCAAGGCGCGTGACCGTCGGTATATTTTAACGGAGCAAAACAATTTCTTTTTTCTACGTGTTTTGATAAAATATTCAAAAAAAAAGAAACTCTTTAAATATGTCGCTATCTATTGCTTGAGAGCGCGCGCAAATTTGTGTGTGTATTCCGCCGTCGCCAGTTCACCTGCCTCCATCAAATGTGCTCCTCAAATGTAGCTAACACTGTGCAAGAAAGTAGTTTGTTGAATAGTGCTCGAGTGGGCATGGAATCGCAGCCACAACTTTCACAGCAGAAACAACATTCGCATCAACAACAATCGCAAAACATATCTGTGATGCCAGTAATGGCGGCCGGCTCTTTGCCACCAACCAGCGGCGGTGTTACAACGCTTCCGCTTCCTCCAATGCAGTCACATGTTCCTACTATACCCGGTTTGGCGGCTCATGGTATCGGTCAACCGCCGGCGATACCACCGCCACCGCTACCACATGCAGCGCCCGCTGTGCCGCTTTCACCAACAGGTAAGTGGAAACATTTTCATTGAGTGAAAAATGGTCGATGTATAAAAATATTAAAAGAGGAGTTTGTACAAAAATAAGCAATGACATTATTTTTAAATTTGCCATCCATTATATAATTAGTGTGCATTCGTATATATATACCTTAAATGCGGCTAAACCATCCATAAGTGAGTCTATATACNGTTGTACAAAAATAAGCAATGACATTATTTTTAAATTTGCAATCCATTATATAATTAGTGTGCATTCGTATAGATATATATACCTTAAATGCGGCTAAACCATCCATAAGTGAGTCTATATACCTAGGTTTTCCGCTTTCATTTCCCCCTTCCCATCCCTTCATGACAAAACCACTGACATTTTGTACCTGCTTAAAGTTTAGCAGACTACTAATAAGGATGCCGTAGAGATGACTCTTGTCACACTCCCAATATCGTCGCTGCAAAATTTCCATTGGACCGCTTTATGGACGACCAATACATATACAGGATTCTGAAAGCGGCTCTAAGTAGGGAAATCCAAATCTGCTATATAAAAAAAGGACATAAGAAAACCATTTCGAGTAGTGGAGGCACGTCCCAAACTACTTTTAAAGCTAGCTCCTCTATTTGAGGGAAACCCTAATCCGACGGAGGCCAAATCGTCTACCGCTGTTAGTCAGGGCGTAGCTTGTGTATCCAAGTGAAGGGGGTTATCGAATGCGGCACTCACTACTTCGAGCCGCGGTGGTTCCTAAAAATCGGCATCAGACGCCACCGNGGTGAAGGGGGTTATCGAATGCGGCACTACTTCGAGCCGCGGTGGTTCCTAAAAATCGGCATCAGACGCCACCGAAATCTTTGGCTAAATCAAATGTCCTTCCCGGGAGTAGTACAAAAAAGGTGATGCGTTGCGCTTAAACGATACGCACGAATTTCTAAGATGCACAATCGAACTCCCGGCTTGGTTGGCAGTAGAGGGGTTTGCCTAGACACCTGATTCTAGTCCTGCAAACAGTGTTGTGCGTTTGTGCAGTAGATGGGCTATAGACTCCTAAAGAATCTGTAGGATTGCTGCTCTTTCCACCAACTGTGTGCCGCCTTTTTCCAGTGCTGAGAGATGCAACCCTTGATATAGCTCAAAGGCACAATAACATCTTCTGTTGTTTCCATGAATGCTATGCCCCGACACGCAGATCCGTGCAACGACATGCCTAACAGCTAAAGCCATAAAGTTCTCTCTGCAATGTTTCATAAAGCTAGTGATGCTTACACGCTGCCTGGCTTTCCGGGAAAATAGCAATGCTGGTCTCTGCCAGCTTCAAGGTTAAAATTACTTTGCACACTCCTTTGATTGCAAAGCCCTCTGCCCGAAAAGATACTATACGAGTTCGCTAGTCAAAATGGGCTTTTCAATTTGGAGGCAGTTGACAAATTACACGCCCTCCGTCCAATCCATATTTGAGCCGTCCGTAGAAATAGATACCTCGTAGAGATCATTATCCTTGATGGAACCTTGTAGTCAGTTTTATTGCGAATGCTTGGGTCGTTGAGAGAATACAGATTACGTTTGTGCCCGTACGTATGTTCGTCCCACAGACTTAGCTCCCTTAACCGCAGGTTGTCATGTAAAGTACTTTTCTTAACAAAGAGATCAATCGATGGCAAATGACAGAAGACATTCAATGCTTCCGTTGACATGAACATATAAATAGTTCGTCTCTACGACTTTCCACCAAACCAGCGAACCGTATGGAATAATTGGGCAAGTCCCCGCCTAATACATCCATAGCATAAGATCAGGGCGTAGACCCCACCTCTTATCTAGCATTTTCTTGCCGGAAAAAGGGTCCTATCAGGATTTTTGACTTGGTGTTCTATGCTCATTTTACTATTTTATTTTGGTATGAGAATGACTCTATAATACTTAGCGCAAGGGGTGACCTCAAAAATATTCCCAAATATTCCGAAGCTATCTGTCTAAGAACTCAATACCTCTAGTGCTCCTTGAAGCATGACCCTTATCATATCCGCTTATCACAAATCTCGGGTAGTCCAGAAGGTTACTTACGAGTGCGGCAAGAGTAAACAATTCATCGTGCAGTGGCGTGTGCATGTCAGAATCGGGTACGACAAGGTAAATATCATTTCCTTAAAAAATAGACATCGGACGGAAGATGCGTCAAAGACGTTTAGCTAAATCGCTACACAGCAAAATTCCATTACACTTGGTAACGAAGTAAAGAGCATCACGATGCCATCTCCCGATAAGAATGGAAACGGGTGACGTCTGTAGTCTCTGTAGTATTGTAATAAAGGAAACTCCACATCACGACTCGAAAGTCCCAGATGGCTCTGCAAGCTACATATATAAGTAATGATTGCGCCGACGAGTATCTTCATCGGAGAAACTTGGCAGTGAGTTAAGCTAAAGACAATGCAGAAGGACCCATCGTAAATCGTGATTTTTCTGAATTTCTGGCGAACTCTCAACAAGAGAGATTAAGAAAATCATAGGAGAGTTGTAAAGCTCGTGAAGACCGTGGACACCTATAGATAAACGCTAATATTTCCTATTTCTCCGAATATAAATCTGGAGGTTTCCACACACGCGCTCCTAACCTAACCCTTTGAAAAGAAAATATTCCAGGCCCACCAAGCCGTTGACAGAAATGAAGGTGTATAGCTCCAGAAGCATTGGGAGATTAGAATAAGGAAGAATCCAACATGAACATGTTGGTTGGGCCGACTCTATAGGATGCCGTATATAAATCCATATGTATGTATGTACATTAGGATGCATCACCAAAAAGGTTGCAGTTTTTCAACAGGAATTATAAAACCTATTATATTCTATGACTTCTGCCGAAATATTTCGACAAAATATTAAGATTTTCGTGAGCTAGACCGATATGAAAACACCTCACAAAAATCTCATTATTCTGATTCCGTTGATAAAATTTTTAAACAGACATTTCAAGGCTAAACTCATCTCACTGAGATAAATTTCTGAAAAAAATATTTTTAAAAATAATTTTTCTTATAAAAAAATCGATTTTTTGNCCTCCCAAAAATCTCATTATTCTGATTCCGTTGATAAAATTTTTAAACAGACATTTCAAGGCTAAACTCATCTCACTGAGATAAATTTCTGAAAAAAAATATTTTTAAAAATAATTTTTCTTATAAAAAAATCGATTTTTTGGGTTATTTTCAAATAGGCTCACGTAAATCGTAGTATTGCTCCGAAATATTTTAGCGGAAGTCTTAAAATATAATAGTTGGTACCCATTTTTTTTTTGTATGGGGAGTGATCCACCCTACTGTACATGCACAGCATATTTAACCAATACTCCATCTTTTTTTACAAATTTTATTACTCTTATATAATAAATCAGCCAATTTATAGCCACACTTCAGTCCAATTAAATGCATTTGAATTTTAAAAGTTGCTGATGTGTTTATGGGTTTGCAATTTGTATACAATATTTAAATGAACGTATAACTTGAATTATCGAGCCGGATAATGACACAAATGCATATACATAAATATGTTTTTATGTCTGCTATCCATCGAATTATTATTTATTACATTTTACATAAGAGCATATGGTTATTTGGCTGGAAAAGCGGCGTAGTCCAAAACCACTTTTCTCTTTGTTTTGGATTAAATATTAAACCGGCTTTTTTTTAATTTCGTCAGATATTCGCAGCTGTAGAAGAGTACTTGGAGTTTATTAAAAAGCTGTAGGACAATTTTTTGCAGTATCCTTAGCTCCAAAACCTAGAGAGCATAAGCCATAATCCAACGAGTTATTTTTTTTTTTGCCTTTGACTCCACGTGCTTTAATGCCGGAGCTAGCTTACAAGGAGTTTTACCTAAATGAGTAAGCCTTTGATCGAACAATAATCCTCAAATATTTAACCGCGTCAGAGTATTCATTTAAATCATTTAGACAGACCCGGGAATCGATGATGGATGTGAGAAGCTCTAAAAAAGTGTTGCTATAAACGTTCTCCATCGTTCAACTTGCTCACGGAAGCAGAGAAAAAGCTGTCTTCGATGGAGAAAACCCACTATAAGTTCTACAGCTCCAGAAGTGTCAGCGGGCTTGAGGGCAAAAAAGTTAGCTCTACTACAGACATAGTCAATGAATTTCCGAAACTTGCTGTACGATTCAGTGGCCGTTGGAAAAAGGAACCGTTTAGAGCAATTTCTTCGACACCCACATTCTTCAAAAAGATGGGAAGGAACACCCGTTAATGGGCGGAGAATAATGGAAATAAGGACCAAGATAACTTTTTCTAGGTCACGAGTAACCCAAAGGGGCTCTTGAGCAGCTACAGGCAGATTTAGTTAGAGAACACCGGAAGCGTACCATAGAACATGGAATCCTGGATGGATGGCCATTGGCTGCAGCGACGCTGAAATAGCATAGTGACTTTGTAAGATGACCTTCCTCTTACAATTTTGGAAAACCACGTCAATTAAGGTAGCAGAAACAACCAAAGTGCTTAAACCAATAGTTTTAGTGGGTTACTTTCCGGAGCCAGCCGCACCATCCTGACAGTATCCTCGGCCTTGTCGAAGTTCAAATTGTGGAATTTTAGGTAGGCCGAGACGAGCCACCGTTGAGCTTTCGACACATATCCTGCCAGAAAATCTTAATAGGCTAGGTTTACTACGGCTTTGAAAGGGTCCGAATACATATACTAGAGAAATCGATATGTTCCTACTCCAAAGCACCTCTGCTGTACAATACAGATGCGGCTACCGAAGAGCAGTAAGTAGCCCTGTTGTTCAAAACACTTAGAAGATTGTGGAACAACTCACAAGCGTGGAAAGGAAGTTAAACTTTCGGAGCCAGATGCTGATGAGCGATCAGCACACAGGATAGGACGCAACTTGTTGCTCGCTAAGGGTCCTTGTGGCATAAAATTAACTGACCGCGCATTGAAGACACGAAGAAGGCGGAGGGAGCTATGAAAAGAAAGGAAAGGGTACTATTTAGTGGGCAG